CTGTACCCCCTTCAGGTGTATAACAGAAACTTGGGGGAAGAAGAACATTAAATGCATTTTTCCTCTGCATTTCACTTTGAGGGAACTCTCTGCCTGTTGTTGTTTATAATGAATCTAGTTTTAAGCAGGGCAAGGCAGGGAGGGGTATGCGTTTTGGTTTTGCTGACTCTGCAAACTGATACTTTGAGAGAATTGTCTGGGGAAAGCAAAGAGTCTTTTATTATGTCCGTCACTGCCAAGTGATTTGGCAGATTCCTCCACGAGATGCACAATCTGATAGGTTGTGAGAGAGCTTGGCTGGCCAGTTACCAGCAGAAAAGCTCAACTTAAACACTTTTAAAATCTTATTATGGCCAATTTGTGGTTTTGGCTGAAGAAAGGAAGAGGATGAAAAATAGAGGCAGCTGGGTGTCAGTGAAGGATGGAATATCAATGTCATTTTTGTTGCCGTGCCACACAAAAAATACTGGCTTTGTACGTCCATTGGATCTAGCTAAGGCAAACAAGTGCACTGGCTAGGTAAACCTGCAAAGATGATTTCATTTGTCATAGCATTTGTCTGGAAGACCGAGGTGATGTATCGCCGTCTTGCGAATCAGAGGGCAAGGTCTTTTTGTTTGACTAAATGCGAGTAGACAGAGGGCCCAGCAAGGGCTTTTACAGAATCTGTGCTGCTTCCCAAATTCAAGGCCAGAGAGGGAGTCCCCTTCAGCCTCAGCACTAACACCACACCAGACCAAGACTGGCTTCAGTTTGTTCCTGAGGGCCATGAGGAGAGAAGGGACTCTGGGCCGCCACAGCTCCTACTCCAGGGTGCCTTGGGGAAGGAAGGCTCTCCCTTCTGCAAATCCCCTGCTGATTTCCAAAGCAAAGCAGCGCAAAGAATGTGTTATGTAGGCCTAGATCTGGACATTGAGACATACTTCAAGTAATAGCTAGTTTCTGGTCCTTCTCAAAAAATCTGTTTGGTTTTGATCATCCCTAAAGGCCTACCTGTCCTGATTGCATTAAGTGATCTTTGAAATGTCTGAATGAAGACACATATAGCTGTTGGAGAGCCATACAGTCACATAGCAGGAGAAATGCAGGACACTTTGGTTTTACAGAGTAAGCCCATCAAATCAGCATTTAAAGCATAAAATTGTCAACTCCCCAGACAAAAAGAATGCTGAAAACATAAAAACTTTGTTCATGTTACCATTTGTAACCTAGTTTGAATATTATTTCAAACATGGTAAGACAGAGGTTCCACCAAGGTTTTGCAGCCAAGGGTAGAAACTGGGCCAAAGACTACCTGGGCCTAAAGGCAATGGGACAACATGTGTTAACATGGTAACAACAAAATATTTTGCCAGTACGAATAGGGACATAACTTTGCCAGGTTAACTCGGAACATAAATAAATCCCTATCTGCAGAAAGACTAAGAAAAGATAGTGCTCGGTGAGGGAATTGCAGGACCTAAACACCAACCAAGATTCACTATTAAACACCATTCAAATCAAGCTGAGGTGGGGAGGGAATAGGAGGTTAATGGTTTAAACAAGGTAAATCTCACATTTTGTAACAGTCTTCAGGTTAATACCAAAAGACAAAATCTGTCTTCTTGCTCTTTCTTGGCACTTAGTTAAAAAAAAAACCTTTGGTGAAAACAGTTCTTGGCCTCCAGCTGGATGAGCACTGAGACACCTCTGTCGCAGAGCGATGGGGTGCTCGAGCACCCTGCCGGGCAGGGCTGGCTGCTTCTGCACCAAGGAGCAGGCTGTTTCTTGGAAATGTTTATGCAATTCAACTCTGCTGCTGCTGAAGCCACAGACACTTAAAAAAAAAAAAAAAAACCCCACACCACCCAAAAAACACACACACACAAACCCCACCCCCCACAAACCACCACACACAAAAAAAAAAACCCACAACAAAAAAACCCCACACCACCCAGCCTCAGACCTCTCAGGCCATTAGTGTATCTCACTCAGGTTTTGCCTTCCACCAAATACTGTCACATTTCTGTTTTGTTTAGACCTGAAGGGTGGAGGGAGTTGGAGAGTTGCCCTCGCTGCTGTCAGTGCTTCCTAATGATGTTTCTCACTAAAGAAAATGAGCTTGTTTGTTTGAGAATCCAAATTCCCTGTGGGGCACAATTTGGGAAACTGAAGATATGGGAAGGAAAATAATATCTGTTAGGGCAAAGTATAAACATCCATAAAGCAGAATAGTGAAACACCTACAGAGAATGTTGTAGCTTTGCCAGCAAACTAATTAAAGTCACTGACTGAGGAGGGAGCTGTGACAGCTGAAAAGTTAAAATAAAAATAAATCAGAAGTTTAGTCTAGCAATTATAACAGGAAATTACCGCCGGAGTCAGGGCTCCTACGTTCTTTTTCCTGGTTTTGCTTCCGATTTACTGGGCAAGTTGGAGAAGCCAAATTTTAAAAGTAGCTTCTAATTTGGAAAGCCTCCATTTCTGATGCCCAGCTGTACATGCAGAGGATTTCACCGACCAGCATCTTCAGTGCCCTCCTGTGCATTTGTGAGGGCAGAGCATTTCATGGCATTGGTGTCTCTGAAGTCAGCTGCCTGACCTGGAGAAACCTAGAGTTACCAGCCCACTCAAAGTGACCATCTCCGGAAGTTTCCCCTGTCTGTGAATTATGGCTAGCGCAACATATTGCTGTGGGAGTCTGATGTTTAAATGCTCTTTATGGCTGGCATAACATATTGCAGTGGGAGTGTTATGTTTAAATACTGTTTGTAAACATTTGCAAGACTTCTCGGACACACTCCAAAGTCAGTGCTATTACTTTTGGAAATAATGCACTCGGTGACCTGCACGTTTTCTGAAAGGACTGCTTCTTAGTAGGAGTAATGAAGCTGCATTTCCAGGTCTGACTGCAGGAGGAGTTTAAGTACAGTGCCACTGAGACCGACAATCAGAAATAACTCTTGTCTTCTGTTCAGTAACATAGCCCCTGTTGAAACTACAAATAAAGCAAACTGTGATGCCTCAGGAGGAGGGGGAACATCTCTCAATCATGGGAGCTCTCTGTACACAGGATTCCTATTCAATTCCATGAGAATTTCTAGATGAAGAGAGCATGTGGCTCCTTCTTACACTGACTTGAGTTGTGCTACAAATTCCTCAGAGGCGGAGCCAAATTAAGTGTCCAGAATAAGGATGTCTCCATAAATTGACATTTTTCCTGCCCTACATTCAATTACAATCTCCCATCCTTATCAAGGGACACCATGGATCAGAAGATTACACTCTGGGTGCCTGCCAGCACTCATTTAGTCACAGAAGTCCAAATGTTTCTCATTATACCAATGAACACTTTTTTCTTCTGTGCAACACACCTGCAAATATGTGTGCCCTAGTGTCAGCTTCATCTTTGCTATGAGCCAGAATGTTTACAGTGGCTTTTCAGATTAAGGATCATGAAACAAATTATTATAGATATTTGCCTATTTGTAATGGAGGTTGCTACTGCATCTGATCTTTTAAAGAAGAATATTGCTATGCTGAGGAATAAGCATGAACAACAGAGAATGCTGTTTACTGACACTACAGGGGAGGAAAAAAAACAAACAAAAAAAAGAGAAAAAAAAGGAAGCCAGGGTAGATTTGGGGTCCTCCTGCTAGTGTGTGGGGTGGAGTGCACTCAATGTTCCTTTCCTGCTTGCTCCCATGTGCGACCCTGGAGGTAACCACAGTGTACACCATCTCCATCAGCCACTGGAGCTCAAGTCTCAGAGCTCCTGCCAAGCTCAGGTCTTCTGCCAACCACCTGCTTTTTCAACCCATGTTTTCACACAGAAAGCTATTTGGACCTACACACTGAGAAATCATACAAGCTCCCGAAACAAAAACAAACCCTTTCCCAGCGTGATGGGTCATTTAACTTTTGTAAACTTCATCTGGGAACCTTAAAAAAAAAAAAGCTGCAGAGGCCTGACATGCAAATAAATGACAAAGAATCCTTTGATAGGTGATCATACCATTCTGCCACTATACAGGTGAAGTATCTCCCTCTAGGCAACAATAAACAAAATACAGTGATTACATGGATAGTAGTTCAACATCTGCTAGACACTCTGGGAAAATGGCTTCATCTTTACTGTTATCTTCAGGACAGCTGTATGCGGTACTCATCTTCACCTTAACATATTAGGTACCTTACTATACTTTTTTTAAGTACAACACACAGTTTTAGTGAGTGTATTTAGAAAAAATAAAAACGGTATTGCGTAAGGTCATTGTCTACTCTACCAAGTTTCCCTAGATAGAAAGGCCTTCTTTAGGGGACATTTAACATTTAGACATCACAACAGTCCATTTGAGAATCCCTTCCTATTTCCTTCAAAATGTAGAAATCAATGAAACCATTTACCAAGAGCAAGAAACCAAATTAAGTTCATGAAATTAATGATTTCCACTAATGAAAAACATGTCTTCCCTTCACACTCAACCCCAGTTTGTGCACTCCCATATAATAATGCTTAGCCACATACCAATGAATTGCCAATATTTCATTGTTTGGAGTCTGTGCAAAGCTGAATTACAAAAAGTTTTATTAATGATAGGTTCTAGTGGGGAATAGACAAGGATCTAGTTAAGAAATATAGTCCTTTACTAGTGAGCTACTTCTCCAGATGCTATATATAATACTAGCAATATGTACTCAATGGAGATGATCTTATCATCATGAAATGGGTATTAAAACTATTCATTGCAAAATGTGCACAGGCATATTTCTAAATACTATGTTCAGTGTCACAAGTGTTACAAGTCTTCTTGAAGTTTTGAATATTTCTTACAGAAGTAACTCTTAGAACTGTTGAACTCTAGCTTCAACAAATGCACTCTTCATTAAGGGGGTATGACCTTCATGTCTGCCTCCAGTATCTTTTGCCCAAAGTTTCCTAATGAAAACCCCCTTACTTTACTACTACTCCTCCACACCCCTTTTTGGTCATTCATTGCTACTTCCCTTTGTTTTGTAGGCTCGTCCAAAAGGAGAAGGCCTGACTCCATACCAGGGCAAGAAACGCTGCTTCGGTGAATATAAGTGCCCCAAATGCAAGAGAAAATGGATGAGTGGGAACTCCTGGGCTAACATGGGACAAGAATGTATCAAGTGCCACATTAATGTTTATCCTCACAAACAGGTAGGAGAAGTGCAGACCTGCTGGCATACAGGCTTGGGACTAGGAATGCTCTTGACTTTGTAAAGTGTAGGTAAGACTTAAACAGGACTTGACATAGACTACAACACACCACAAAAAAGTGTTTCCCAGATGAGCTGGTGTTCTCAGTCCTGGAAATCTGGACTGGTGTCAGAGTTGCAAAATTCAAATGGCCTATCTTTCAGCAAAAATACCTCCAAAACAAAATCTTTACCTGCCTTTATTATAGAAACAGACTGTGGGACCTTATAATCTGAGATGGAATAAAACAAGTTCACCAGTAGCAATGGACCTCCTAGTTGTTCTGATTCTCTTCATAGTTACACCAATTTAATGTTTCATTCCACTGGTGTCAGTGGAGTTATTTCACGTGTACTACTTTCTTCCACCTGTTGAAATAAGATTGGATTTGGTCAAGGGGCTATGTCTATTTATAAAGATTAGTGATAAAAGACAACAATACTAAGATGACTCCTGCCTACAGAATTCCTTGGTTAACAATAGTGAAGCAAGACAGCCTGGTTAAAGAGAGGTTTCTTGGTTTCCATAATACCAAGTGATGCCCAAGCAAAGAACTTCAAGAAAAAGCTTTTATTAAGCTGAAAGGGTCAAGTCTAAGAAGTAGCTCTGCTAGGAAAGCTGTATCTGCCATCCTGTCAGCCATAGCTCACATGGTACACACAGCCTTCCTTCCTGCTCTCTGCAGATTGCAGTTGCATCTATCCCTTGAGGTAATTTCCTGCCTTTCCAGCTCACGATGGGAAAACTGACTGTCAGTTCCTGCTTGTATCCCACCAGAACTGGTCACAAGCAGTCAACCAGTTCAGCAGTCTTTAGTGCGAGACAGACCAACTGCATGAGCTCATACCCTTTGTTTCCCTGACAAACCAGGCTACAGACTGGCTGTCAAAGCTCAGTTTTCATGCAGAAAGTCACTTTTGACAATCCCATGAAAAATAAACTTGGCCATCGTGGAAAAATTTGAGGGAGATTTTGCAATATTGCAGAAAATTCTTGTGGATGGAAAATGTGAGAATTATTTTAAAAGAGTTTGGGAGGTGTGATTTGCCTCAGGTATAATTCATCCTAGCTGAATCTTAGTAATAAATAGAACTCTGCATGGGTCAAGTTACCTGCTGCCCACTCAGAGAGACTGCTCAAACCATAGACAGATCATTTGGATGTACTTGCAATAGGTGCAAAGGAAATTCCATCAGGAGCCTGAGGTGTCTCATTAGTTACCTAAGTGCTTGCAAAATTCCTGTAAAAAACTCTTTCCATGGGCTCATAAGGAACACTTCATACCATTAATGAGATTTTTGGAGGGGAGGGTGTCAGGAAAAAAAAATCCTAAAGGAGGATACTGAGATTTTATTATGATGAAAAGACGGAGGAATATTGAAATTCACTGCAACAAGCAGGAAGAGGAGATACAAATAAGTTTATTAAGCTTTATCCCAGACAGAAATGTCAAATCAACTACATTTCCTCCTCTATATTTTCCTCACATATGCATATTCATCTAATTTTAAGGGCAAGATTTGGCTTAGTCTCTACAACATTGCAATATGTAGCCAAAACATTGATTTAGAATTGCTAGTACCTTGAAGCAATATGAATTGCAGTTAAAATGTAGCGTTTGAAGCCTGCCACACTTGTGGCAGAAGCCTTGGTTTAAACTTAACATACTTCACTACAAGATGATCATCCCTTCTTTCCATTATGGGAGTTTTTCTACTTTACAATGAACTTGTACAAGTCCCTGGCTGAGCCAGTGAATATCTTTGTTTCTGTTGGCCAGTTGAGATGATGTGATTGATTCCCCTTTCTCTGGGCTAATGCCACTCTGATTCCAAACCTGAAAACAAGAGGTCATCTTTAGAAACTGCAGTCTAATTTCCCTGACAAAACTGTGACTGGAAACTACATTGCAAGTGAGAAAATGCAAGGACCTCTTTTTTTGTGGAAACATATATATGGAAGGAAAACTAAGAAATTTTCTTTCACTAACTTATATGAGACAATCTCAAAGCTTCCAAGGTCTCTGGTTCCTTGCCTCTGTTAGACAGCTTGTGTAGACAACTGCACCAAAATCTAGGCTGAACAATGAAGTTATTTATCACATGCGTGAAAGTAGAGTCTTGAAGGTGAGAGAAATTACAAGACCACTGACTTAGAAATTTATAAATATTTACCTTGTTCATCTAAATTCTTTCCATCATTTATGTTACTGTTCAAAGGGTCACAAGAAATCACTCAAGAGGTATCCCATCCACACTATATAAGAGGCATTATAGACTTGGGAATATGTATATTTTGTAGTAAAGAAGGTTTGCAAGTAGTTTGGGCAGAGTTGCCCCTCGTGGCAGGACTAGAGGAGTCTACTCTGCATAGTAGTACTAAAGTCAAAGACATACCGTGGAAAGGTTGCCGCCTACAGTGCTTCCGTAAGCTTTGCTTGCCTTGGAACCATATACATAGTGTTTTCCAGGGAGTAATCACAGCATGTGCAGTGCAGGTTTCCACAGCTGACCCCCATCACTATGTTTCCACATCATTCCCTAAGGACACCATAACTCAGGATGTGGAAGAGCTTTGCTCTTCTTTATCTATCCATGTGTTCATGTCCCACCAGTAGGTATGGCAGCTATTTCAGATCTTGAAGACAAGAGTGCATTTCAACTAGGCTTCCAGATGTAAATAACTTGCAGCCAGTCACTAGTGCTCTTTCCCAAAGCTTGAACTTACAACTTTGAGTTGAAAGATTTTACATCCTGTCGTCTCTGCCTCACCTCCGTCAGCTTCTATTTCTCAGTGTTACTATCGTCATTCTTTCTATTCTTTTTCATTCTTCCAGAGGTGCCTTGTGCTGCGTCTGATTAAACATACCAGCAATAGCCAGACAGTAAAGAAAACAGCATCAGTTCATGCACAGAGCCAGCAGCAAAGGAGAGCTAACTTAGGCTGCATGAGGTCAGCACTGCTTCTTGACAGAGCCTGCATTTGCTAACCCATACATGTTTTTTGTCCAAGCAGCCAGCTCCAGACCAGACTCTCTCTAAACATTTATCTGTGTGGTGTTATTCTGCACTATTTTGGAAAACATGTTCCACCCAGTCACCAGTACTTTTACACTAATGACTATATTTTGTACAAGCACAGTGAAAGATATTAAATAAAAGTCCAATATTCCAAAATTTCTAGTTTGAGAGTTAAGCACACACACACACACAAAATCTTATTGTGCACATAAGATTGTTTTAGTAGTTTTTTTTAATTAGGACTGCTGCACCAGCTTAACATTTTCTAATATATAATAAATATATATTTCCTATTTATTCTTTAGATTTTGATTACTTTGTTCGCACCTAGCACAGCAGAGTCCTCATTCAATATCTGAGATCCTATGCACTTCTAGAAGTTTTTAGCAATCACTTTCTTCCCCTCTCAGTGCATTAGTGGATGTCCTCAGCTAATTATGTGCTCCCATTGCCTTCATTATATGAGATCAGTTTTTCCAACTTAATTCTTATAAGAAAAGGTGCTGCCTCTCCCTAGAAGCCACGTTTCTCTTGTGCCATTTTAACTCCATTCAAGAAAAGGAAATAAATATTGCTTTGTATTATCTGTTCTTTCACTGCAAAGTCACCCCACTATATGATGTTATCATATAGTACAAGTAATCCGTAAGTAGATTTTTTTTTGATTTAACAAAACCCAGATGAACTGGCCAGACAGAAGTTCGACCTCCATTCAAGCTCAGACACTATTTACCTCTAGTGAAATAAATTATTTCTACTTCAAAACAGTTTTGTCAACAATTCTTCTCTGCAATGTGTTGCAAGTTCATTACCTCCTTTTCTTACTCCTTGCCCTACTGTTTGGTAGACATATCATTGCAGCCTAACAGATAAAAAAAAGTTATCTTGAACATTATTAAAAAAAAAATTAATGGTCATTTTATCAGCAGATGCAAATCACTGTTGGTTCCTCAACATTAACTAGCCTTATGTCAGGTTACAAGAGCCTCCAAAACTACAAAAATTACTTAACTGCAAACAACTCAGACCATGTCTAAAACCAGTCAGGTGCCACATTTCCCCAGTGAGAGCATATTATAAATGTCTTCATTCACAATAGTGTATACAGAATGAAAACTCATACCAAATCACATCAAACTCCCCTATGCCATATCTGATGCTGGGCAGTACAGGGCACTTACAGGAAGGTGTGGATATAAGACAAGACAGAGCAACCACCTCCAAGGATAGTTTTCCATCCTCTGGTATTGCCAAGTAAGTATCTCTGCATTCCCCCAGTTTCTCACCAAATAGATCAACCTCTGTGGAGCCTGTTCAATAGCTGAAATACAACCACATGGGCCACCAAGCTTTGCTACATCATCTTGAATATTGGAGATTAGGATGCTTTTGTCCAATTCAGGAGAAAAGAAAAAAATGAAGTCCTTATATTCAGGATTGCTTGACATTCATTGCAGTGAATTAGGGGCTTATTCTCAATTACCAGGCTCCCCCTTTTCTCCAGTCCTCATCTTTATCTCTCTTTCATCTTCCCCAGTTACTTTCCTCAATCTATGAACTTCTCAGTCCTGTAGGGCTTGTCCACATTGTCTCACAAGGGATGGTTCATGCCTGAGTACTCCCATGTAACAGGGTCAAGCAATAATATCAGAGTACTGAAGATGATAATCTCTACTCTGGATAGCCATTCAAGCACATATGCTAGGTCAGTGAATGGCTTGTGCAGCTACTCTCAGATCTTAATTTCCTATGCATACCTTTTGTTTGTGGGTCCCTGGAGAAGAGAGCAGCCACACTTCCCTGCCACCTGCTCTTTGTTCCTGGAGGCTCATTTCACTCCAGGAAATGATCCCGTGCCAATTCCCCACAAGGAATGTCTCAATTCAGCTCTGTGCTCTTACTCCACATACCCTATCTGTGAGAATGAGCTTTTAATCTCTC